AGAGCCGCGCGGGCACGCCTATCAGCGCTATGGTCGACTAAGATGTTTTTGACGAGGTGTTTTCCTGATTACTTATCTAACGACTGTTTCATGCACGCGGGGAGTTGTTCGACGATGCAGCTGGGCTGAGAGGTAGCACTCGTTCCCCCATGCTCGCTCGCTTTGCTTCCCAGAGAAGGTTAAGCGTCGACGCTTGCTCGCTCGGTTTTTTGGTCTGCACGACCGTCTAATGTCTGAATACCACTTCTTCTCGTCGTCGACCTTTGACGGCAATTGTATTGTAATCTCTCTTTCTGCTCCGATACCAAGTGTTGATGCGGGTGGCAATGGCTATATGGCTGACGGGTTAGATGGATGGATGGGCGGGTGGGAAAGAAATGGAGGATTAGGGCTATGGTTACCAAAAGCTGTTATAGGGTTAGTTTAGTTGCTGCAATGGGATGTGTTGCCACTGATGTGTTTATGTTGAATGAAGACTTGTGAGGCTATGCTTTCGTCCTGCTGCTACTTGATGGTTGATGTTGCATCAAGATTCGAGAGTCATGTAGCTGTCCAGCACGCACAAGGGCCTGTGCCTATTCGAGGTCTTTCTAGTTACGTGCACATCACCAAGCACAACTTGGAGAATAGAAAATAAAACAAAAAACCCCCACTGCTTTTCTAGTGCATTTGTAACTGTTAGAAAGCTCTCTGGTTACCTGTAAAGTATTGAGTACAACCTCAAGAATCAAAACATCATGTAGTTGTCCGGCCCACTTTGTGCCTTAAGCTCTTTTCGTTGGGGTCTCTGCAAAGCGCCATGCTATAACGGTAATTTAAGGTCCTGTAATTTTCCAAGTCTGTCTGGTTTACTCAGAGCCACACGGCTTCTTCATTGGTATCTCCTGCAAAGTGCCTAGGGGTGACGGTAAGCTTGTTTCCTGGCACAGAGAGCGGATATAGGCAGCTTAATAACGTCTACGTCGCTGTCAACTAAATACTCCGCTTTTTACGTCAAGTGAAGGAGTACAGTGGTAGCCCGAGTGCTTCCTCTTTGTTTGTACGTTCTAGTAACACAACAATGCGGGTTCAGTCTCAGTAAAGACCTGCCCCTCGCATACCTGTTCCGAGATGGTATTGCAGTGCACAGGCAGAGAGGACTGAAAATACAATCTAGAGAAAGGATTATGAGTCATACCCAATGGCAGATATAAAACAAGATCGGAGTCGTAGATTGAGTTGGTGTGTGGTGACTGTGGTGTTGATCAAACTCGGTAGTCGGTTTCATGGGACTGCTGTCCTCCATTCCCCATTGCCATGAGCTAGCGGCAATATTGATGAAATAGATGGGGACACCTCTACATGGTGACATGGCCAATTATTCAATTCCCTGCCATCAAATCACCCCCAGGATACTCCACAACTACAAAAGACGATGGGTGTCGGGAGTAAACGGGAGAGGCTAACCCGAAGTGAGCTCCCGCACGGACTCTTGGCAGCTAATCGACCTTTGAGAGCAGAAATCTTTGCCCACTCCTCCATCTTCCTCCCACCACTCCCCATCCATTGAAGGACCAATTCATCTTCAACTCATCTCCACTCCGACCGTCAATTCCATCACCATGGTTGCCATCGCTCGCTCCTTCGGCGCTGCCCGCGTTGCCTCCCGCGGCTTCGCCAACGCTGGTATGTCTCGCGCCTACGGCAGGTGCTCAAGCCATTGGGTTTGAGCTCTGCAAGCTCATCAAGCAGCCATTGACCATCATCTCGCAGCCCGCGCTCCCCAGCAGAACACCCTCGTCGCTGCCCGCAGTGCCTTCCGCAACAACGCCGCCCGCAACGTCATCCAGAAGCGTGGCATCGTCGCCGAGTCCACCGCTGCCGCCATGGTCGCTGCCGCTAAGATCCAGGGTGCCGGTCTCGCTACCATCGGTCTTGCCGGTGCCGGTGTCGGTATCGGAACGGTTTTCGGTGGCCTCATCCAGGGTGTTGCCCGCAACCCTTCCCTCAGGGGTCAGCTCTTCCAGTACGCCGTCCTGGGTTTCGCTTTCGCTGAGGCCACTGGTCTCTTCGCGCTCATGATGTCTTTCTTGCTCCTCTACGTCGCATAGATGTGTGCATTGATTGCATCGACTGCCGGACATTTGGGGTCAACGGTATCGGGGTGCCGCAAGGTGGAAAACTTTTCTTGCGGATGGATGTGTGCATAAGGACGACTACTACCTCTTTTCCTACTCTAGTGGCCGGTCAGATTGTGTAAAACATGTACTTTAGAGAGCAATCTGAAGAGCAAGCTACCACCACGGCTCGCTTTCCTTGTACACGCAAACGTGCGGAAGCTGTAGCTACGGTAATGACACGTGCGGATGAATCATGTTAAGCTCAATGACCCCAATTGGATCCTCCGAATGCCTGCCGAAGCACCTTGACGCCCGTGCCACGTTCCGTGATGAACTATAGCTACCTGAGCTGCCGGATATTGAAACTTGGTCATGCCAAGCCTTTTGCTGGACGTCTGTGTGTGACGACCTTCCCCGCGCTTCCGCATCGCACTTGAGGGCATGGCTTAACATTTCTTCTTTCCGCATGTCCCGGGCCTGTCTCTTGTCACCATGTCCGGGGGAAGATTCAATGCCTGAGGAAGCCCGCGACAGCTTCATATAGCCCCACAGTAGAACGCTTCCGAGCTTCAAGCCATTGTTTACGATAGGCATGGACCCAGTCGCAACTCTCTGCCGTACCTTGCTGACCTGTGTAGGATGGTTGATACTATGGTACTGGATTGAATGATGAATGCTCTACACACCTCTCCTACCCCGCGTCGACTGTAGCGCTCACGAATGCCATATGCGACCCAGGTCGACCATACCCCAACTCGACCGCGACCGCGACCGCAAACCAGCGTTACGCATCAGCACGATAGTAAAGAACAGGGTGGATTGTAGCTTCTGGCTATGTCACAATGGCCTAAAAATGCAGAGTGTCGTGTTCACCCGTCAATTGGACGCTGGCCTTTTTCACGCAGACGTTGAGACGGAGAATGTCTGGGAGCCTCCATACCCAGGTGAATTTGAAGCCATACATTGCCGCTGAAAAAGCAGAAGCCCGATGCGTATTCACGTGGAGAGACCGAGGCTGCGGCGTTTCAGATCTGCGTTTGAGCAGATGGTGAGGCTATTCCCGAAACGAGACGCCCGACTACATCCTCCCAAACCCGCAGATCGGAAACTAAACAACCGCAAGCTTCCTTGCAGACTACGGAACGATTGATGCGCCCCATCACTTGGATCTCTATGCCATCACTCGGGTTGTCGCAGCACCGTGAAACTACGGTAGGTTTCGAGACAAGCTTCAACATCCAACGCCGCAAAGCTTAGCTGTCATTGTCTCGCTGGCGTAGCCACCTTGGCTTGTACTATTTAGCTTGCAGGTGCCTTTTCTTGAGTTCAATTGAGCAAGTTTTCTTCGATCAATACTATCATCTTGTAATCTTTGTGCCGGTCACTTTCCTTTTCTGTCTAGACTTTATTTCGCTCTCTTCAAGTACATTCAACTCTTAAACAGCAATCATGCGTTACACAGCCTTCATCACCGTTGCCGCCTTCTCCAGCGCTGTCTTTGCCTCGTCTGGTAAGCTGTATTCGCAGATGGTAGTAATACATGGCCTGCCTAACACCGACCAGCCAAGCGCGACCCCCAGAATGACGTCGCCTCCATCCTCGAAGCTCTCCGCGAGAACAACCCCGAGGATGCGGATGCCGCTGCTTCTGCCATGAAGATCAAGCTCCGCCGCCAGGACGACCTCTCCTCCATCCTTGCTGCTCTCGAGCAGAACAACCCAGATGACGCGGCGGCCGCCCAGCAAGCCGCCAACGGCGCCCAGAAGCGTGCTCCCCAGGACGACCTAAACAGCATCCTCGCCGCTCTCCAAGCCAACAACCCCGACGACGCCGCTGCAGCCCAACAAGCCGCTTCCTCCGCGACCCCTTCCCCCTCCAACACCAAGCGCCAGGACGACATCAGCAGCATCCTCGCCGCCCTCGAAGCCAACAACCCCGACGACGCTGCCGCCGCCAAGCAGGCTGCTTCCAGTGGCAGTTCTACTACTCCTCCTGCGCAGAAGCGCGCTCCCCAGGACGACGTCAGCTCCATTCTCGCTGCTTTGGAGCAAAACAGCCCTGAAGATGCGGCTGCGGCTCGTCAGAATATTCAGAAGAGACAAGATGACGTTGCGGGCATTCTCGCGGCGCTGGAGCAGAACAGCCCTGAGGATGCAAAGGCGGCGCAGAGTTTGGGGAGGAGGTGGATTGCTTAGATGGGAGAGGGTACAGGGCTGGGTAATGGGTTTGATTGGAGACTAGGTGGCGAAGGTACGCTGTACATAATGGGTTCGATTGTATTTTGAAAGAGGAATCACTTGGGCGCTCGTCTCACTAATGCACTCGTTTGGCCCGAAAACGGTCTTTGTGTTTGCGGATCTAACTTGAAGGAGCCCCATTGGCACACTGAGCGAATCTGACATGTTGTACACCTACCTGTACGCCAAGTAACCCCTGTGAGAGCTATCCCTAATTTACAAATGTCGAAACCATTGGCAAGGACCACGCTTTTCCCATGATCCTGCGGACACCCTTCGCGCTGGCTAGTCAAAGCGAGGGTAACGCTCTCGCCAACAGTGACCACGCAAGAGCTTAGCATGCCCTTGTCTGCCCTCTCAACATGCCATTCCACCATCCATCAACATCTCCTCAGCCCTAAGAAGGCTTGCTCCCCAAAAAGCCCTCTTCCCACCTATTCCGCCGTTGTTCTGACGTTGCAAACGCCCAACACGGTCCGACCAAAACAATCTCAACACAGCCCCTCGCAACCCCACGTCTACCCCGCATTCCTCAAAAGACTCGTCAACCAGCCACTCACTCTTGTCCTCGACCCGGCGATGTCCTCCCCCGACGTTCCCCTCGTGTGACCCTTTGCCTGCAATATAAAGCAGTTAGCCGGAGAATTACTCCAGTTTCTCCATCGACACGATGGCCGAGTGGTCTAAGGCGGTAGATTTAAGCCCCGCTTAGATCTCTACTACAGAAATGTGCGTGGGTTCGAACCCCACTCGTGTCATTTTGCTCTTTTTTGCCGCTTGGATGGTGTTTTTATGCTTCAAACACGACGGAATTTGATTTTTGGGCGTCGTGGTGGATGGTTGGGTGGAATTGGGGGGCGGATGCGTGGGTGGGAGGGGCGCGGGGGGGGGGGGGGGGGGGGGGGGGGGGAAGCGAGGAACGCCAGAGAGGGGGGCGGGGAACATCAAACTTGTCGCGCGAAGTGGATTTATTGCATATTTGGAGAATGAGGAGAAGGGGGTGATGGAAGCGTCTTTTTTTTAAAAGGTCGGTTTGCTTGGATGCGTGGCGTGCTGTGGGATTTGCGTTGCACCGCCTTGCCCGAGGTGAACGACCGGCTTGATGGCACCGCAACCACGCAACGGCTGTGGGCCTTGACAGCGGGCGCAATGGGAAGCGGCAACTTGACCGCAGCTCTTGAACATATTGCTGAACACGTTCATTCTACCGATATTACCGCTTAGTGTACTAGATCCAATCTCTGAGCTCAAACACACTCTTAGCACTTCCCCGTAGCATTTCGAACTCAAGTAGGAGAGGTTGAACAATTCGCAGAGATTTTGTCGAAGAATGCACCCACAGCTGATGTCGCGAAACACGGCGTCCATCGGATACACATGGAGATTGGTCTATTCAGTGACATGGACAACACGCTTGCTCCAATATGAAGCAACACCAAGTTCTGAACATTACCAAAGTCTCTTGGGATTTGAGGTCTACAAAGCAAGTTACAATGTACGACATGAAGGTGAGCCCCCCCTACCCACTACGTTTATATCCGCTTCTACTTCTCAACGCCTCGCCATACTTTGCTAGCACAAACGGTATGCACGCACCTAGAATACTCAAACACCCCAGCAATGTGCAAGCCCACTGCGGTCCTAGACCTCGAAACATTTGGACTGCGAAGAGAGGAAACGTTGCTCCCAGCACGTATCGCAGGATGGCGTTCGAGGCCATTGCACTGGCGCTGTACAGCGGCCCGTAGGTGTCGGTAATGTACATCATGCATGCCATGAATATTAGCATGTTACCACCGCCAAAGAATGCCTCCGCGATGGTCGGTACAATCCAATGCACTTGATAGGCAGCCGACCATCCGAAGAGAAAGAGGCCGACAGTCAGAACAGGGCCGCCGGCGAAGGCAAGCGGGAGCCGCTTTTCGGGCGTCAGCCGTGAAGTGGCAAAGGCGGGTGCCGGTCTCTTTTCTGATATTGCTTTTCGCACGCGGGGAAGGTAGTAAAGCTTGCTGAAGGAAACGATGCAACCCGTGGCGATGATAACACCGACACCCAGGCCCAGGAACGTGAGGCCGGTCGAGACACTGTCGAAGCCATACTCGGTCTCAAAGACGTACGGGAAAGCGGCGAAGAAGGCATAAAGCAGGCCAAAATTGAACGCACTGTACCCGTTGAAAGCAGCTACAATAGGCTCGGTAAGCAGCATATGCAGCGGCCGAGTGAGGGTCTTCGACACGTATGTGCTGATGACCCTTGGCAAAGACATGCCCTCGGTCGGCGAAGGCGGTAACAGCTCATTCCGTTGCTTCGCGCGCTGACGCAGAAGAACGGGCTTGTACGACTCCGCGAAGAAAGGCGCAGGCGTGAAGACAAGTACGACAGTGAAGAACAGAATCAACCACGATGTCCAACGCCAGCCGCGATTCTGTGTTATCACCGCACCCAATATGGGTCCTAATGCCGGCCCAAAAAACGGCGTCGCGACATACAATGACATGGGCCCGGAGCGTTTTTCCGGCGGCCATATATCACTTAGCGTGCCAGATCCCATGCTCAAGCTGGGCGCTGCGAAGAACCCAGCCCAGAAGCGCAGGACAACCAAGGCAGCCATACTTTGCGCAAACCCGGTTCCTAGGATGAAAAGCGCAAAGATGGGCAGGCTGATGAAGATGACAGGGCGTCTCCCAAATGTTTCGCTGAGTGGTGCTGCAAAGGGTCCGCCGAACGCAAGTCCAAGAGCGTAGATGGAGTATGCAAGGGTGGAAATGAGTTGTGTTGAGTTGAGCTCTGAGGCTGCTTGTTCGATGGCAGGCGTGAAGACCGAGGAAGCGAAAGTGCCTACAAAGGCAATCCCAGAGATTGTGTATGTCTGGTACCATTTTCTTGCTGTGCTCCAGTTATGCGGGTTCAGAGGGTCTCCTGCATTGTCCCAGTCCAACTGCTTTGGACGCTCCTGTGCTGGTGAATTCTTCGCCGTATTCGCTGCTGTTTCCTGATCGGAACTTGATCGCAGTCCCTTCTCCAGCTCCGGACTGGAGCTGAGCTCTCCATCTGCTGATGGCTGGCGACTACGGTCCGGAAACTTTTCCACATCCACATGGCTCGGTGGTCTTGTAGATGCCGCGGTATTGGTTTCCGACCACGAGACGGGCCGCGAAGCATTTGGAGGAGCCATAAATGTACGGGGATATCTCGCGATGTACGGTCAAGAAGGGAGAGGAGAAGTCTGAAACACGCTTCTACAAAATCCTTTCGCCAGAGGCAAGAAACGCATTGGCCTTTATCTCCGTAGTTTGACCCATAACAGTAGCGCACTGATAAGGAGCTGTGTCCGCCCAGGGACGACATGATCGTCAACTACGTCTTAGCCATGGTGTTGAGCTGCCCAATGGAAGTACGTCAGGGCATCTTTGCGAGATCAGACCTGGGACGCTTGACGATCTTAGATCGGAATGTGGTGCACGATGGGCATTGTTGAGCTTGGCTGAGCTTGTGCGATGCGAGCTTTCTGTAGGTGGGTCAGAGTAAAGCTAAGGGCATCATCGGGATCGTCCCGATCGCTCATCTTTGTTTAGTGGGTCTGTTGACGACAGATATTTCTTCTCCCAACCCACAATCGAGTCCCAGCCCGAGTCCAGCAAAGAACTTCCAGCAAGTCAAACAGATGCGCGGGGCGTGCGTCTTGGGCTTTTCCGGGGTTTTAGAGAGGTGGTTCAGACGAAGACGAAGGTGTTGCGCACTTGGTGTTTCGCGTTCGGGGATTCACCACGACTTCTCGTAGCGTGCGCCGCCTCGTCATGCTCTTATCACACATGGCTTGTGCATTTGCGCATCCATGATTCGGACTTCCACGCGGTCGGATAATGATAGACAAGCGGAGGGCGACGTGTCACAGTATAAGCGACTCTGGTACTGGGGCCGTCGCTGCTAGTTCAGAAAGTTACCAAACCCGCGATCTTCGCACAACCATTCACTTATCGCTGAGGCCTTGCGGTGCTCATAATGCAGCTCTACATGCCATGTCGACAGAGGGTTGCACAGACCCCCAGTAGCATCTGATGGTTATGTCGCGCCAGTCTGACCGATTGAGTTGAGATGGAAAGCGCAGGCATGTTGTGATACAGTAGATGTAGTGTAAAGGTAGCAAGAGTCGGAAAGCTGAGGTACCGGGGAGGGTGTGGCGCGTGTTGTGGCTTGTGACGATTAGCGCGTTTGACTCAAATGCCCCTCCAGATTGTTGATAGCGCCCCTCCAAGCTGCACACAAACACCACGCAAACATGGCCGAACCCTCTGCGCCCGCGCCAACTGCAAACGAAGAGGAGAAGGGTCCCTCGAAGCGCGCCCTCGAGAAAGCTGCTAAAAAAGCTGCTGCGAAAGCAAAAAAGGCTGAACATGCTCTGCGACCGAAGGAGCAAGCCAAGCCAAGCACAAAGAGCGAGCCGACGAGCATCTTCTCTGAAGGCTGGCTGAAGCGTATCTACGAGGAGAAGCCCGTCTCAGAAGTTAGGACTCGTTTCCCTCCTGAGCCAAACGGCTTTCTTCACATTGGACACGCAAAGGCCATTGCTGTAGATTTTGGTTTCGCAAAGCACCACAACGGAAAATGCTACCTCCGCTACGATGACACGAACCCCGAAAAGGAAGACGAGATCTACTTCACTGCCATCTTGGACATTGTCAAGTGGCTAGGATTCGAGCCATCGAAGATCACGTACAGCAGCGACAACTTCGACAAGCTTTACGAGCTGGCTGAGCAGTTGATCAACAAGGACGGCGCCTATGTCTGCCACTGTTCGCGTAAGAACACCCTTGGATATCCACATCTGCTAGTCTGACCAGTGCATAGGAGAGGAGATCAACAACCAGCGCGGCGGACCCGACAACCGTGGTAAACGCTATGCTTGTGCACACCGCACGCGACCGATCGAAGAGTCCATCACCGAGTTCCGGGCTATGCGCGATGGCAAATACCAGGCTGGAGAGGCTTTCCTTCGCATGAAGCAGAAGTTGCCCGACCCAGACGAAGGCAACCCCCAAATGTGGGATCTACCCGCCTACCGAGTCGTGAAAGAGAACCACCACCACAGGACAGGCGACAAGTGGAGAATCTATCCTACATACGACTTCACACACTGCATTTGCGATGCTCTGGAAGGAATCACCCACTCCATGTGTACAGTCGAGTTCCGCCAGTCGCGTATTTCGTACGACTGGCTGCTGGAGCAACTGGACATGAAGGTGCCAAAGTCGGAAGAAAAGGGACCCATGCAGAGAGAGTGAGTGAGGCATCCATGCGCTATACCACACGTACTAATGCGAGCAGATTTGGCCGTCTGAGCGTCGGCGGTACTATCCTGTCGAAGCGGCGCATTCTCCAGCTTGTCGAAGGTACAACTGTCGAAAAGAAGAATGCAGATGGGACTGTGGAAACAAAGAAGGTCGCACCGGCAGTACGAGGATGGGACGACCCTCGGTTGTTCACCATGGTTGCTCTCCGCCGTCGCGGTATTCCCGCAAAGGCCATGCTGAACTTCGTCGATGAGCTCGGTGTCACGGATGCGCTCTCTGAAATCGAACCCCCGCGTTTTGAAGCATCCATTCGCAAACATCTCGAGAGAACAGTCCCACGTCAAATGCTCGTGCTCGACCCTATCAAGGTCACTATCGAAGACTTTGCTACCGAAGACGAGCAGGAGATCATCGTACCATACGATCCAAAGGGCGCTATCCCAGGCAAGCGAAATGTCAAGGTTGGAA